CCGTTCTCGCCCGGGCGAGAGCGTCAGAGCTATAAAAGTGAAAAAGGGGATCTAGAAACCCTAATCTTCATTTTCTTTCACCCTCTTTCTCTCCCAACGGTGGCTCCAGCCAAATGGACCATTTTCCCCTCCACTTAGCCTCAAAACTCATCAAAACCTTCCTCTTGCTTCATGGTGACACATTTGGAAAAGCTTGGAGGTGAAAAAGCAACAATGGAGGTTGGAGGAGATGAAGGGAGATGTGGCTCTTTTGCGGAGCAACGGAGCTTACACAACCTAAGGTGAGGGAGAAGACCATTGTGGTCTTAGAGTATTTCATTAGAGTCATCATCTCCTATTTCCCTCAAGAATCGGAGCATATTAACGGATAGAAACTCTCTTGGGAGTTTGTGGTCCATATGAGAGTTTTTATTTTACATGAGGATGTATTAGCCATAAAAGTGGAGATATATGTGTGGGGAAAACCGTCTATTTAAGTAAATCGCTATATGCTCATTTATGGTAATACACCGTCATTAAAGATGGTTAATGTGTATATGATGAAGAATATGTTATGCGTGGTTTGTTTTTGAGAATGGTTATGTTGTGTGATAATGATGGTGTGTAAGATATTTATGGTCATAAGTAAAATGAGTATGTTGTGAGTAGTTGATTGTTATAAACATGTATGGGTGTGTTGTAACAATAAATGTGTGATGAGTTGTGAATGTGTTAAAATGGATATGAGTATGTTTATCAAAATGAGTATGTTGTGAGTAGTTGATTGTTATAAACATGTATGGGTGTGTTATAACAATGAATGTGTGATGAGTCGTGAATGTGTTAAAATGGATAAATGTATGTTTGTGACAATGAAGGTGTTGTATGTTATTTATGGTGATAAAATAATGAGATGCCTTGTGTTGATTGTGTATGACATGGATGTGAGTGTAATGTGGAAACTTGACCTGCCGATATGGTATGGGGATTTCTCGACCTGCCCAATGTGGTATGGAGATTATTTGTACGGTGCAGAATTGTTGAATGAGATCAAGGGTAAATTACTACGGAATATGAAGGATATGAAAAGTGTATACTCGGAATGAAAATCATATGCATGCCATAGGATATATATTATGGGATATATATCCTACAGGGTGAATATGAATGATGAGAAATGAGTATATTTGGACGAATAAAATATGCACACTATAGAACACATATAGTATGGGATGTATGTGTACTATAGGGTGAATATGGATAATATGTGATAAATAAATATGCACACTATAGAACACATATAATATGGGATGTATGTGTACAATAGGGTGAATATGGATAATATGTGATGAATAAGTATGCACACTATAGAACACATATAGTATGGGATATATGTGTGCTATAGGGTGAATATGGATAACATGTGTTGATTGATATATGCTTATCCTGATTGATTTTAGATGTGTGTGGTTTTAATACTTTAATGTCATTACTCCATGTAAATCCACGCCATGGTCGCCGTAGTTGGTTCTTACTCCCTCTGTCTTTCCTTGTATGTGTTGTATGTTTGAGTTCAGGTTGTGGAGGTAGCGTATTGGACGCTTGCGGAGAAGAATTGAACTTATACGTATATTCAATCAGGTTTTCCAAATCGTTCGAGTAATGTCTTTTAAAAGTAATCACTGCACTTTCACGAATAAGGATTTTAAAAGAGAATTTCCGAGTTATGAAAATCGGGTCCTTACAGGATTAGATATAAGTGAGTGTGTAAGGTACAAGGAGACCTCGGGGTGAGATAATTGTAATTGCAACTCATTATATTTAATAAAGGAATCTCTTGCGCGTCAAGAGTACTGGACGTGGCCTTCGGTGGACAAGAAGGTGAACCAGTATAAAACACCTGTGTACTCTCTTTCCCTTCTATTTATTAATTTTCTATCCTTCCTAGTCAATATTTTTCTGCATAATATTTCCGCTGCACATTAACTTTGATATTGTAGAAAAATTGGCCACACTTATTGCAATAACAAAATCACCCCCTCTTAGTTGCAATCTCATTCTTACAATTAGCACCAGAGCTATTTTTGAGAAAGTTACTCTCAAAATCTGATACTACTACAAGATGGCCTCAAGATCATTCCTAGAAGATGGATCCAACATAAAGAGACCTCCAAGTTTTGTTGGAGAGTGTTACGACTTCTGTAAAATCAGAATGAGGATTTTCATAGAGTCGCAAGACTTGGATATTTAGAATGGTATCGAGGAAGGATCATATGAACCCTTCACCATAGTCAACAACACATGGAAAATAAAGCCAAAATCTTCATGGAACGATGAAGATAAAAAGAAGGTGCAATACGATCTTAAAGCAAAAAACATCATCATTTCATCACTTGGCAATGATGAACTTTTCAAAATATCAAATTGCAAATCGGCCAAAGAAATATTGGATGCTTTAGAGATTATGCATGAAGGAACGGAAGAAGATCAAAGGTCAATGCTCAACAATACTTGTTCTACATCTGAACCAGAAAATGACGAACAAGTTCATCTCTCGCTATTGGTAAGTTCATTCTGATGATGAAGTGATAAGTAAAACTAAACCTTTTTCTTCTTCTGAATTACAATTAGCATTTAATGAATTTCATGATGAATATGTCAAACTTAGAAAATTATTTCTAAAACAGAAAACTGAATTAGAAATGCTTAGAAATAAATCATCATCATCTTCTTCATGTCAAAAATGCATTACTCTTGAAAATAAAGTTTCAACATGAAGTTTTGAACTTAATGATTCAAACAAGAGTAGAAAATATCTAGAAAAGATAATAATGGATCAGAGACTGTCGCGACCCGATTTTCGGTTGGAAGACCGGCCCCGCGACTTGGGGAGAGGCGAAATCGATTTCTACCTCTTCCAATTGTTTGGAGTCGCCACTACATTTTTTGCGGATAAAACGTAGAAAACTCTAAATATGCCCAATTAGGATAAAATGGTCTTTAATTAGAGGTTCTGAGCTCGGGAGTCGATTACGAATCGGGGAAGGTATTAGCACCCCGTCCGCCCGTATTAAAACGGTACCCTCGTTAATTACATGGACTTTCATACCCTTAAGTAAATTTGCTAAAAATTCAATTATAAAAGCAAAATGTTTAATTTTTATTGTTGTGCCTGACAAGAGCTCATCTTGCTCCTACGTATCCCTAGGTGCAATAGGGAAATCAAGGCTACGTAGTCCTGGTTTGAAAATTAATTGATGTTGGTTTAGTTTGTTTGAAAAGTTGATGTAAATTGTATTCTCTTTAAGAAAAGATGAAGCAGCAGAAACTAATGTCCGCACCATATCAAATCTTAAAGAGATTTTGAAAGTAATTAAACTACTGTGTTGAAATTTATTTATCTTTAAGATATATATTATTTTTGAAATAATTGAAATGCATTGTTTGAAATTTATTTATTTTTAAGATAGATGAAGTAGCAAGACTAATGCCCGCGCCGCATCAAATCTCAAGGAATATTTTGAAGTGGTTTAAAATATATTATTGAAATTTATTCACCTTTAAGATAGATGAAGTAGCAAGACTAATGCCCGCGCCGCATCATATCTTAAAGAGATTTGAAATAGTTTTAAAATTATTCACCTTTAAGATAGATGAAATAGCAAGACTAATGCCCGCGCCGCATCATATCTTAAAGAGATTTGAAATAGTTTAAAAATATATTATTGAAATTATTCACCTTCAAGATAGATGAAGTAGAAAGACTAATGCCCGCGCCGCACCATATCTTAAAGAGATTTGAAATAGTTTAAAAATATATTATTAAAATTATTCACCTTCAAGATAGATGAAGTAGCAAGACTAATGCCCGCGCCGCACCATATCTTAAAGAGATTTGAAATAGTTTAAAAATATGATTATGTTATAAATTGACTTGTCTAATTAATTGATAGGCGTACACTTATATAAACTCAATAGAACATTTCTAGTTAAATAAGATTATTCTTTACAATTATGAGATTAACTACCAAGAAACGATAAATAAATCAAAGAGTAGAAATATAAATAAATAAACAAAATATATGTGGGCCAAGGGCCCAAAGCCATGATCCGGTGGAGAGAGGGATAGGGGTTTGTAGTGGTTTTTATCATTCTGGACCTTAGGGTTTTGAGGAGGTTGAGAAGATAGAAGTGAGAAGAGAAGAGAAAGTGAGAACACGGGAGAGAATCGCGCCTCGTCTTCTCCGGCTCCTCCTTCCTCCGTTTCATCACCGACGGCCACCCTGCTTTGACCACGTCCTCATTCCTTCTCCATTTCATTCCTTGGAAAGGGGTTTCAAATCCCTAACCCCACAATCTTTTGTTTCTTCGGCCTCCGGTAATAGCAGCGGCTTTCCTACGGCGAGGACGCCAGCAGTGACGGCTCACAATTCTCTTCTGCCTCGATTTGAAGGTTAAGCAGTTCGTAGTTTTGACACTCGATGTATGTTGGAATGGATTCGGTAACCAACTCTAACCCTTTCTGTTTATGTATTAATCCCTATATTGTTTGTTTTTGGCTTATCAAATTTTGTGCGATTATGCTTCGTATCTTGATTCTATGCGTGTGGTTAGGCGGGCTTGAACATGCAACTGAGTTTCATAAGATTTGATTCACCATACAATATTACGACAATGATCATGTAATTCACCATAACATAGCGTATTTAAGGTAACACATATATCTCCTAGGAATGTAAGTTTTCATTACATTATTACAACACAGGTTTCATGCAGAACATCTTTTATTATTAACAAACTACGGATGTGTTACCTTCGGTGCTTGACCATTACCTTGCTTTCGAAGACGCTAGGATTACTGGATTTGGATTCCTCTGCTTGTTGTGATGAATGGGTTTGTTAAATCAGGTTGTATTGACTGCTTGTGTGTGTAGAATAGCTGATCTCTGATTGCTATGGTATGTGGTTTACGCGTATGTTATGTTTTTTGTTGTGGTGACTTGCATAGTATGTGGGATATCAAGATAGATAGCTGTAAGTATGGTGTTGTGTATTTAGGACAGTAAATTTAAGGAGTTAGGACTATGACTCTGGTTATGTATGTGCGATAGGTATATGGAATTTTTAGCAACTGAGTTTTTGGTGTTTCGGTTTGCTTTTTGAATGATGTGTAGTGTAGGAGTGTATGAGTATATGGCTTGCTCTCTATTATGTTCTATGTGGTATATGGGATGCTATGTGTGGTATATGTGATGCCATGTGTGGTACCCTCTCTCTGAGTATTGTGATATATGGTTATATATGTGACTTGCTCTCTGAATGTTATCCCCCCCTTTTTGTGAATTGCGTTAGCCTTTTGTAGGTGGTTGGTTAGTGTAGAAAACCTTTTCAGTTGCTGACTGAATGCAACATTATTGACTTTTCCTTTGCTCTGATTGCTTGATTGTCCCATTATGTCACTTAACTACTCATCATTGTTGCCATTTATGCATAATCGTAACTGACCATAATGCAACCTTGCATCTGTTACCTACTGACCTCTTTTGTTTACAATTATGAATGTTTTAAGGTATGTAACCAGAGAAGGATATACCCTCTGGTTTACAGTCCTTTAAGGCTACCAATTACTACTTCGATTGGTGCAACTGTTTGGATCTTTTGTAACTGTTTGAACATGTGGAAATCTTGTCTGGTGTATTTGTTTTGCATTCCCTTGACACCTCAGGGTTATTTCTTTATGAGTATGCATTTGTAAAAGCTTTAATTTCTTTTACACATTTGTCACTACTTCCTTTTTATTTTGATACTTATTTTCACACTGTCAACTATGATGACCTTTTGGTGACAATAATTAATGACTTGTTCATGCTTTAAAAGGCTTCCCCATGGAATTTCATTTGCCCTTTTTCTCTTTTATTATTTGTAGTTGCTTGACTGCCTTATACTTTCTCTGGTTATGATTCATGGTTGAACTATTTTCATCTCTCAAAGAAGATTCAAATTGTGATTGTCTTTTTTTGTTTGTAACTGAGTAACTCAAACTATAAATGCTTGCAGGGAAGTCAATTCTGGAAAATCCCTTGGTATTAGAGTAGTGAGCTTGGATCCATGCCGTTCGTGACATCACAGAAGGGACATTGCTTAAGGAAGCAAGTAGCCTTGTCCCTCTCGCATATGTTGATCAAGAATTCTAGCCTAAACCAGCGGTGCTTGTCAACTCTTGTGAGGAATCTTATGCGGATACCTAGCAGAGTTTAAGCTTCTTCAACCTTTCCACATCTTGTTGCAAAGCCCATTATATTTCATGAATATTGTACCTTTGATAGTGGGTTCAAGGATATGTCAACTTCATCACTCTAGAGTGCTTTCACTGTTTAGCTTGTTCTTATGTTTTCCAATATCCATCCCAAATTGAATGAGTGGATGATTAGTCCTTTTCACCTCTTCTTTTTACTGACAGATCATGGATTCTATTCAACATCTCTCATTGCACAAGCTTCTTGAACATCCTTGGATTACTCAGAACTCATGTATATAGGGGCTAGTGTATTCTTGTAACTTCTTTATATTTTATTAATGTGAAAATTGTAACCAGCTTCCTTTTGACAATATTTGGTTTATAGACGCTGAAAACATTAGCAATTCCAAGGTTATGAAGATTATAACATCAATTTGTAACAGATTGCCTTAGTTGTCTCTTTCACATCAATTTCCAACATCCCATTCCATAAATTCCCGATGTCTCACTAACAAGTCTTCTTATTGAATTTTACATTAAAATAACAAACAAAAAAACGTCAGTAAAAGATCTTATGGTCACTGATTAGAATGGGAAAGCCAAATGAGAAATAATTAGTTTTTCAAGACAAAACGTTGTTTTAAGACTTTTTTTGGATTTTTTATAAATATAGGCCGGACAAAATTGGGTGTTCACACTCTCTAACTTGTTTTGGGTATGTTGGATCTATTTTCAAAACATGAGAAACCATGGAAACTCACCCTTTAGAGTTATGGTTCGTTTTATGTTATTTTTCTCTTGTAAACTCTTGGCTTAGAGTTGGTATTTGATGAATGGAAAGGTTTTGTGGGTTATTCATGAAAACCCCAAAAACCCCCAAAATGAGAATATGAGTATAAAGAGAAAGAGATGAAATGTTAGATATGGATGATGAGTTGTGCTTTGATGTTGATATATGAGATGAACATGTATGTTTAGATGTTTGGAAACTTGTGTTGAAGTAGTTTTGGAAATCTTGAAATATGTGAATCCCTTGTATATTTGATGATGAAATACGAGTTATTTATGTGTTATTTTGATTAAATGACTGATATGGTTGTTATTGGTGAAAATGATGAAAGATCCTATGGTTTGAGGAAATCGCGGAGGAGACTTTTAAAGTTACTCGGAACCGATCTCCAACGCTCACCAAGGTAAGGGATAAGTGTCTCTAAATCATACTTGCTGATATGAATGAGGTATGTGAAAGAGGTATGGTTTAAAATGATACGTCTGTAATTTATGCATTCTGTGGGAAAATGCGTGACTTTTCTGTTATGGAAAAGGGAAATTAATATTATTGGGGGAGAACCAATGGAAATATGACTCAAGGGAAATCAATATTATTGGGGGAGTACCAATGGAAATATGACTCATGTGAAATTAGTATTATTGGGGGAGAACCAATGGAAATATGACTCAAGGGAAATCAATATTATTGGGGGAGTACCAATGGAAATATGACTCAAGTGAAATTAATATTATTGGGGGAGAACCAATGGAAATATGACTCAAGGGAAATCAATATTATTGGGGGAGTACCAATGGAAATATGACTCAAGTGAAATTAATATTATTGGACGGGTACCAATGGAAATATGACTCAAGGGAAATCAATATTGTTGGGGGAGTACTAATGGAAATATGACTAAAGGGAAATCAATATTATTGGGGGAGTACCAATGGAAATATGACTCAAGTGAAATTAATATTATTGGAGGGGTACCAATGGAAATATGATTCAAGGGAAATCAATATTATTGGGGGAGTACCAATGGAAATATGACTCAAGTGAAATTAATATTATTGTGGGAGAACCAATGGAAATATGACTCAAGGGAAATCAATATTATTGGGGGAGTACCAATGGAAATATGACTCAAGTGAAATTAATATTATTGGGGGAGAACCAATGGAAATATGACTCAAGGGAAATCAATATTATTGGGGGAGTACCAATGGAAATATGACTCAAGTGAAATTAATATTATTGGGGGAGAACCAATGGAAATATGACTCAAGTGAAATTAATATTATTGGGGGAGTACCAATGGAAATATGACTCAAGGGAAATCAATATTATTGGGGGAGTACTAATGGAAATATGACTCAAGGGAAATCAATATTATTGGGGGTGTACCAATGGAAATATGACTAAAGTGAAATTAATATTATTGGCGGAGAACCAATGGAAATATGACTCAAGTGAAATTAATATTATTGGGGGAGTACCAATGGAAATATGACTCAAGTGAAATTAATTTTATTGGGGGGGAACCAATGGAAATATGACTCAAGGGAAATCAATATTATTGGGGGAGTACCAATGGAAATATGACTCAAGTGAAATTAATTTTATTGGGGGGGAACCAATGGAAATATGACTCAAGGGAAATCAATATTATTGGGGGAGTACCAATGGAAATATGACTCAAGTGAAATTAATATTATTGGAGGGGTACCAATGGAAATATGACTCAAGGGAAATCAATATTATTGGGGGAGTACCAATGGAAATATGACTCAAGTGAAATTAATATTATTGGGGGAGAACCAATGGAAATATGACTCAAGGGAAATCTATATTATTGGGGGAGTACCAATGGAAATATGACTCAAGTGAAATTAATATTGTTGGGGGAGAACCAATGGAAATATGACTCAAGTGAAATTAATATTATTGGGGGAGTACCAATGGAAATATGACTCAAGGGAAATCAATATTATTGGGGGAGTACCAATGGAAATATGACTCAAGTGAAATTAATATTATTGGGGGAGAACCAATGAAAATATGACTCAAGGGAAATCAATATTATTGGGGGAGTACCAATGGAAATATGACTCAAGTGAAATTAATATTATTGGAGGGGTACCAATGGAAATATGACTTAAGGGAAATCAATATTATTGGGGGAGTACCAATGGAAATATGACTCAAAATGAAATCAATATTATTGGGGGAGTACCAATGGAAATAAGACTCGGAGCAATGAAGGTCATATGCATGCTATATGATATATAGTATGGGATATGTATTCTATAGGGTGAATATGAATGATGAGAAATGTGAATGTCACATGAATGTCGTATGCATGCTATAGGATATATAGTATGGGGTATATATTCTATAGGGTGAATATGAATGATGAGAAATGTGAATGTCACATGAATGTTGTATGCATGCTATAGGATATATAGTATGGGATATATATTCTATAGGGTGAATATGAATGATGAGAAATGTGAACGTATGCATGCTATAGGATATATAGTATGGGATATATATTCTATAGGGTGAATATGAGCGATAAAAAGGAAGATGTTTAGAAAGAAAGTAATATACATGCTATGGGATATATATTATGGGATATATATGTTATAGGGTGGATATGAATAAAGAGAAAGATGATGTTTCGAACGAACGTAATATGCATACTATAGAATATATATTATGGGATATATATACTATAGAATGAATATGAGTAAAGTGGAAATTAAAGGAAGATGATTTGAATGTGTACAATTTCGTATGTGTGTTTACGAATTATATTAAAGTTTAATTGTATTTGATTGTGGATTATCATGTGATGTTAGTTTTGAACTAATGACTTACTCCCTTATGTTTTGTGTTTTGTTTATGATAATCCCATTACAGGTAAGAGAAGGATTTTGAGAAGAACGCTCACTTAGGAAGCTTTGGTGTTTATTAACCTGTATGTCTTATTTGTTACTTGACATTGTAGTTAATTTGATAACATTATGGGATGACTGTAAATCCGTTTAGAATAATATAGATATGTGTAGTTATGGGCTTTATAACTTTGGGAGACCCATAACTGGTTGTATGTGGTAAATGCTATTTGAATGAATTATGTTTTTCCGCAACATAAATTTGTATGATAATATAATAGGGTAAAGAGTATTTTCAAAGAGTAATACTTGAGAGTTTTCAATGAAGGTGACGACTGTACGTAGGAAATGATTAAAATAAATGAAAAATTTTCAAGGGTAGAAAATCGGGTCGTTACAAAACAAACCTCCCAAAGTACTTTTGGGTTGATGCGGTAAGCACCGCTTGTTATGTTTCAAATAGAGTTCTAATAAGACCCATTCTAAAGAAAACCCCCTATGAACTCTTCAAAGGAAGAAAATCAAACATTTAACACTTGCATGTATTTGGTTGTAAATGTTTTATCTTGAATAATGACAAAGAAAACTTAGGCAAGTTTGATGCAAAGGCAGATGAAGGAAACTTC